AATTACTATTATGGAAATAAAAAAACAGGAGTGGATCTAATTTAGGAAATGCAGAACATTACACAGAGAGGCTCGGATAGGCGGGACGAACGAGCCTCTCCGGAAATCATGAGATCGACGAAATTTGTTATCGCCCGGTAACACTATTAACATTAGCGTTAGCGACGATGAAACCGATACATTACAAACAAATAGTTGCAAATAATATAATACAAATTTGGGCAAAAACCGAAAAATCAAAAACCCTATCGAACATCTGGTTTATCCTTCGACTTTTTCGAAATATTTAAAAGTTCCTACTATATTTATTAAACGAGAAGACAGCTCTGTCAAAAATGATGAATTAAAAATAAAAATTAGAACCGCATGCAACATCTATACTAGTTAATACTAAAACAAATACAAGAACTCGAGAAGGCGGAAAAAGAAAAAACATGAGCGATGACGCGAAAATTAAGAATAAAAACGCAGAGCTCAAGTACCTTCATCTAAACATGAAACAAGCCGCACCTATCATTATTGAAAAAGCTGTTATTGAAAAAGAGAATTTTCGAATATTGGATGTTCGTTTTCGTATTATGGCGACAATGATCGAAGCAGACTTGATAACCGTAGCGGTAGTTGGAAAAATTTTAATCGCTCCTAATTTACAAGTTACTCAACATCAAAATACTAAAACGAAGTATGTATAACTTTGTATGTTTCCTTCCTAAACTAACAATTGACAAAAAACGTAGTGCTTGATGATTGCAAGTGATTACTATAAACATGATTTAGTGGCTTTTTTAGAATATTATTCTAATTGTTCACAAAATATCCAAGTACGTAGTATATATAATATAAACTTTATATAAATAAAAAATACTAATTGACAATAATTCTTTAGAGCTTATAATTGAGCTATTGAAGAATAAAATTTCCCACCAAAATGAAATTCCTCTGGATAGATCATGGAAGTATTACAGTAGCGTTCATAAGTATCCGAACGCCCCTAACATTTTATAGATCATGCGTATCATCCTAAAAATTTCTGAAAACAAAGAATAACACAAATGCTGTTCATTTATGCCTTATAATTTCTACATCGGGGTGTTTTATGTTCATAAACTTTCACGCTCTAAATATAATGAAACGGTCACTTTAGGGCGTAAGATCTTGATGTCTAGTGATCGGATTTGAGCGACAATATTATCATTTGACTCATTTAGTCGAGATGAATCGAATGGTAGTATTTGTGTTCGAATTTGATCACTGGGTGTCGAGATA